GGTTTATATGGCTCAAAAGAAACAAGCATTGCTATCCTTTTGTCGTAATTTCCACACATTTTTGAAAAGTGATAAAATCATTACGCCTTCTGGATAAATGTCACGGAAACATATCAACAATAAAGATGGTGTCAAACCGCCTATTTTTTGAAAAATTCCATTCAATGAAAGATATTCTTTTCAACACCATTAGAAAATGATAAATTTTGAGATACAAATGCCTAGAATTATATTTTGGAATTTCTAATGTAAGTACGAGCGAAACAATTGGAGATATATTATTTTATTTTTTTATATACTTATAAAAAAGTTGAGGTTTGCGAAACGGCCATTTACAACTTCATTGTCAATTAAATTCATAAAGATAACTTCACAAAGCTGCAGTCCTAAATAAATTTATTTTATTATATAAGATAAATAATTTTACTGAATAGTTAGCAGTAAAATAGGTAAAATCAGCACCGACCAGAGAAAACCCGATCACGATTTCCGGTACTTATCTAACTTGAGAACATTGCTGAGCTAAGAGCATTAAAGATATAACTGTAAGTGAATTAATATGCGTTACAATTTTGAAACTCACTCAAGTGGAAAGGTTGTAATGCGTATCGCTAATTCTTTATGTGTAAATTTCAAATTACGTTTCTTTATACGTTCTACCTTTTTACTTTTTAAAGAATTCAAATTCGTATTCTGTTTTTAATTTCGTTTTTTCAATCAAACTTTTTTCTTATTAAATCAATTGCCCATTTAAAAAAAATCTTAATAGCACATGTGAAGCAGAAATCTGATATGAGGCTTGAATAAAAATCTTATGAAACATTTTGCAATGCAGTTTGCATTTGTTTTATACACAAGAGCACGATTGAATTCAATACGAGTATCTATGTACAATTTAAAACTAATTGATCAAGTTGTTATACGTAACTAGCGGCGTTCCTCGCTCGCTAACGCTCGCTCGGTCTCAGATTGTTTCAAAGAAATTGTAAGAAATATTGGAGGAGTAAGAATATTATAAGACATATTTATGAAATATTTAAATTTTGAACAAATTTAGATGTTGAAACATAATAGAATATAATAGAATCATGTTTATCGATATATTATGTAATTGGTCATGATTCATTGAATACAAAATAACCCAAGAACTTGATAGATTTAACTTAACGAAACATCATCTCTCCTTCTCGTCTTAAATATAGTACAGTGACTTTCTAAAAGGGCATTAATTTGTACGTCGAAATAGGTCTATGAGAAATTTGGAGATTAGTAGATTTAAAAAATAACTAAATAAAAAATCTGCTACACTTGAGTGGAAAAGAATTTAATTATAAAAATTTTGAGACCTAAAGGATCATTGATTAAATATTGATTAAATATTATCAAAATCATCTTGACAAGGACTTAAAAATTACAAGTCAATATATATGTATCCTGGATGAATTTTAATAATAATAGGATCCACAGACATATTTTTTGTTGTACAAAAACCTGCAAAAACATATTTTATCTTCCGAAACAAAAAATTTTAATATTAATCCTTAATTTTCATGCTTTTGCATTTATAGGCATAAACACAGGTGTGTTTCCTTAAAGAAAGCAATCGTTTACGCTATAGTCGACATAATAAAGGTTTCTGATAAAAAATTTCCATGGCCTGAGAACAACAATCTTTATACTTTAATTTTCGATTCTTTTTTTATTATGAATTTTTTAATTTTCATTTTAGCGATGAAAATCTTTCACAGAATACAGACAAATACTAAAGATCATTGTACCCGTTCACTTGACTTATCTGTAATTATATACTTAAATAACTAACTTGTCTGCTTTTAATTCATAAACATTAATATCTTTTTCTTTTACATTACTTTAAGATAAATAATAATTTTCAAATGTACATTTTTTTCTTGGTCGAAAGTCTAGTTTGATATATTGTTTTCGAATATGGGATTAATGAATTTTTATTAGAATCAACAAATAAAAGAAAGTTCAAGTTCTTCGCCACAAACTCATCCGCGAGAACAGGAGAACCAAAAAATTCCCCGAAGAAGTTTCAACAGGTGCCAGAACGGGGACTCGGTGCACCAGGTCGACGCGTTCAAGATCTCCACCACAAACTCATCCGCGAGAACAGGAGAACAAAAAAATTCCCCGAAGAAGTTTCAACAGGTGCCAGAACGGGGACTCGGTGCACCAGGTCGACGCGTTCAAGATCTCCACCACAAACTCATCCGCGAGAACAGGAGAACAAAAAAATTCCCCGAAGAAGTTTCAACAGGGGCCAGAACGGGGACTCGGTGCACCAGGTCGACGCGTTCAAGATCTCCACCACAAACTCATCCGCGAGAACAGGAGAACAAAAAAATTCCCCGAAGAAGTTTCAACAGGGGCCAGAACGGGGACTCGGTGCACCAGGTCGACGCGTTCAAGTTCTCCACCACAAACTCATCCGCGAGAACAGGAGAACAAAAAAATTCCCCGAAGAAGTTTCAACAGGGGCCAGAACGGGGACTCGGTGCACCAGGTCGACGCGTTCAAGTTCTCCACCACAAACTCATCCGCGAGAACACGAGAACAAAAAAATTCCCCGAAGAAGTTTCAACAGGGGCCAGAACGGGGACTCGGTGCACCAGGTCGACGCGTTCAAGTTCTCCACCACAAACTCATCCGCGAGAACACGAGAACAAAAAAATTCCCCGAAGAAGTTTCAACAGGGGCCAGAACGGGGACTCGGTGCACCAGGTCGACGCGTTCAAGTTCTCCACCACAAACTCATCCGCGAGAACACGAGAACAAAAAAATTCCCCGAAGAAGTTTCAACAGGGGCCAGAACGGGGACTCGGTGCACCAGGTCGACGCGTTCAAGTTCTCCACCACAAACTCATCCGCGAGAACACGAGAACAAAAAAATTCCCCGAAGAAGTTTCAACAGGGGCCAGAACGGGCACTTGGTGCACGCCACAAAAGAAGAATGTGTAAAAAATGTAAAAAAAGGCTTAAAACGTGCGAAATCGTAAAAAACGACCATTTTTTTGGATATATATATATATATATAATATACATATGTATATATATGTATACATATGTATATATATATGTTACATATATATAATATATATTTTTTTTTTTTTTTTTTAGAAATCGATTTCGGAAATATTGGGGAAGCAAAAACGTTCCGTTGAAATTTCAACGAGTAATATATAGGATTTAACAAAAAAACTCGTTCACGCCATTATAAAATGGAGCATTGATAAAAAAAAGCTTACTAAAGGTAAAAAAACGTTATCTCTATCACCGCGATCATATCGTAATATTTATTTACGACACTTGCGTTAATTCATATTACTTTAGAATCAAGTTAAATGCAAATTAAGAAAGCGAATTAGCTGTAATGGCGCCACGATTTATGTGCTGAAATAATTCTATACTGCGGTTGCAATAATCTTTCGAGAATATAGAATTTTATTGGAAAGTCTCTAAATTTGTAAAAACACAGTAAAAGCGAAATCAGTCCTGTATAATATTCTAAAGACCCCATCGAGAATCGCCCTATTTAAAAAAAAGGTAAGGTTTGAACCGAAGAATCCAATTGCATTTTACTTTTTATTGTGTTATTAACGATACTTACAAAGTACCTAATCCATTCATATGAATTTTTTGAATTTAAAGAAAATTGAAATTTTTCGGAATTTAATCAAATATAAGATAATGCTTTCAGCCGAAGTTTAGAATATTTTTATTCGTCAGAATAAATACTTCGATGATATTCAGGCAGCTGGTTAATTCAGATGAATTTTATATAATACATAGAAATCTATCGATTATGCATCCAATTAAGCGACTTTTTTTAAAAGAATTCAGTAATCAACTTTAGCCACAATTTAGAAGCGTTGAAGTATTGGCAAGTAATCTGTATCTATAGACAGAGAAAAATGTTTTGACGTTTAACTTCTGGCCTAGCTTCGTTATGCCCACATAAATGACATATATACCTTTAATGATATATCATACTCAACATAGTAAGCGCGTGAAGAAATCCTTGAGTGCAGCTTCGGCGAAAATAGTGAATATGAATAATCACCCAATCGAAACGATGATAGTTTGGACGCATACTAGACGTTTAAAGAGCGAGTAGATAAAGGCATGAACTTTATCGTCATACCCGACAGCCTATAACGATTGGTTTTATCTTCCGAGTTATGAACCTCGCATATTTTCACTAGAACAGAAATAATCTCGTATCGTTTATGCTTTATGTATTATATATATAACAATATTTTGATAAAACGGGTTTCCTTAAATAATTGATTATTTATCTAATAACTCATTTATGTCATGAGTACATGGCTTGAATATACCAGCTTCATCGCTATTTTCAACAATTATGAAAATGTTAGGATAAAAATAATAATGTACCATATCCACAATTTTTGAGTTCGCTGTATCTAATGGTACTATTTATCGTTATTTTTAACATTATTTTTGCAAAATAAAGTTTATAAAACTAAGTTTTTCTCTAATTTTTGAAGCTTTGACGTATGATTAATCCACTTGAACTTACATAAAAAGTATCAGAGTTTTTTGCCTTTTTAAACTAAGTGAGTTAGTTTTCTTTGCAGCTCTTGAAACATTCTATTTTTCTCATTAATTATTCACCGCGTCATAATAACCCTGATCGTATTAGTATTATGAATTTTTTATGGTAATTTTGCGGAAAAAAATGCCGAAATCATTTTTATGCGCAAATTTTCACTTTTTTAATTGTTTTATCAGCCATGACTTTTTTTCAAGCATCCATTCTTGATTCTATCCTGGGTCTTAAATTTTTTTTGCTTCCAATCTCATTTTCATGACAATAGGTAGGTACAGTTTTCATGAAATTCGTCAACATGAAAAAAAACGCGTAGATATAAAGCGAAAACATTGGTTTTTTTGGTTATTAATAGGTTAATATACTACAAATCACCAAATTAATTTAATTATTCCGTTTGTTACAGCATGTGCATGTGATAATTTGGGATCATTTTCACCATCATGTGATATCGTCACTGGTCAATGCTCATGTAAACCTAACGTAATTGGAAGGCAATGCGATCGATGCTTGGTAATTTATCATTATTATACTAAAACTTTAACCAAATCAAATATGTCATATCAGTTTTGTATTGAAAAAGTCTGAATCTTTCGAAAAATGTAGTAAAATTGATCGATTTATGTTATGAAATATAAATATGATTTTTTTCAAATATGCTTACGCTCCTCTCTTGAATATCGTGTTATAAAACGGAGTCTAGATCGAATCTTTTAATTTTATTTTTATATCAAGTAAAACTTGTCTCGTATATTCTTATTTGTGTAGATAAACGTTAGCTGGCACATTATTATTAATATATAACATGTGTAATAAAATATGTAGATTCATTAATTATTGAAGCAGTTTAAAAAAAAATGTTAAATATGACATTGGTGTTCTGAGTTCATTAGTAATAGCCTTTGGGAATGATTCTGTTATAGGCAGATCATTGGGGCCTCGTGATGGGAATGGGCTGTCAAGCCTGCGGCTGTGATCCGGTTGGCGCTTACAATGAATCTTGCCACGAAGTCACCGGTCAATGTCATTGCAAACCCGGAGTCGGAGGCTCGAGATGCGACGTCTGTCTACCTGGACATTATGGATTTTCCCATGTTGGGTGCCAAGCTTGCGAACCGTGCAATCGTCCCGGGCACATCTGTAATCCGTTGAACGGCCGATGCACCTGCCCAGCTCTGAGTCTAGGCGAGCAGTGCGATCGGTGTCGGCCAGGAAGCTTCGGCTTGCGTCCGGGAATCGGCTGTCAAGCCTGCGCCTGCAGCACAGCTGGCTCGATCAAGTTGCACTGCAGTCAGATCGACGGTCAGTGCCCGTGCCGCGAGGGCTTTGCCAGCCGCCAGTGTAAACAGTGCGCTCCGGGCTATTACGATTATCCCCGCTGCAAACCTTGCAATTGTGACCCCGATGGATCCCTCGGACAATGCGACGCTTCTGGCCAGTGCCCTTGTAAAGTAAATTCAACTTTTCTTAATAACCAAAGTGCTGATTTATGTGCAATTTTTACCAAATTATGTTTGAATTTTTTCATTTCGTTTAGGAAAACGTCAAAGGTCGCAAATGCAATGAATGTGTCAAAGGCACGTTTGGTCTATCTCAGAACAATTCCAGGGGATGCACAGAGTGCTTCTGTTTTGGTCGATCGAACACTTGTCGACAAGCTGAGCTAAGCTGGGGACAAAAACGATTACCTCGACCACGAGTACTTTATGTCAACGATACCGTTAATGAAGTTGTTGTAAGCAAATGTTGATCAAACAATACTCTATCAAAGCAATTTTTTTCCATTTCGTTGTACGCTTTTTATTATGGATTTATCAAATATCAAACCTGCAATAGTATTAGTAACTGTCAAAATTTCATTCAAACTTGATTACTTTTCCTTTCTTAATCTTGATGTTTTGGTGATCATAATTTCATACCTTATCTATTCTATTTTTTCAATATTTCACTCTAAAATTATTCATTGCATGTTATTTGCAAACAGATTTCAAATTATGACTCTTCGATTGTATTGCCGCACTACAACAGTGGATTGAATAAATCCAACTCGCTTTACGTTGTTCCTGGTACTGATGGTGATGTCACATTACCCATGAATTTTTACCGAGAATATCCGGTTTATTGGCAGTTACCAAGTACCTTTCTTGGCGATAAGGTAAGTCAAGAGTGAAATAGCCTATAACTAATTCGATCTGAATAATGCTAAAATTTTATCGATGCAGGTCGCGTCCTACGGTGGTTATCTTCGATTCACCACGATTACCGATGGCGGATATGTATTACGCGAAGGGTATAAATTTCCTCAAGTTCAACTACATGGCAACGGGATCGTTCTTGAACATTACCTCTCAAACACCTATAACGACAGTTGTTACCTCGTAAAGTACGACGAAAAATTTATTTTTAACACTGCGTGCGCGAAACACGGGCTTTCTAACCTTAAAGCGTCAGAAAACCCTAGTTTCTCGCAAGCAGAGTTAAAAAATATCGTTTGCAACTAGTCCGCGAGGAAGTTGACTCACCCAGGAGTCTTTGCACCCTCGCTACGCTCGGGTGAAAACAACTCCTGGCTGAGTCAACTGCTTCGCGCACTTGTTACAAAATATACTATTTAAGATTGAAGAAATCAATTTATCAGATGTATTATTAACTCATAAAAAATTGTTCCCATAGATTCGATGAATCAGTTTGGCAACTGAAAAGTAGACCCGAAACAAAAGTAACTAGACAAGTACTCATGGTTGCCTTGCAAAATGTCCAGCACATTTTTGTCAAAGCTTCAGATTTTACCGATTTTCCTAGAGCAACGTAAGTTTCCCATTTAAAACACAAAATGTACGTCAAAGTTTTTATATGCAATGAATTTGACAAAATATTTACTTGGAGCAGTTTAATGGAAGCTTCGATAGACATAGCTAGTCTCTCTGGAATCCGCTCAGCACCTGTGGCGAGCAGTGTTGAGCACTGTGAGTGCCCGAGCGAGTACAATGGGACTTCCTGTCAGGATCCAAGCTCTGGCTATTACAGGTGGAGGGAATTCAACATCACATCTATACGAGGAAATGACTACAACGAGCTCATTGGTCGTGCCAAAAAATGCCGTTGCAACAACAGATCGGACGTCTGCGATATTGAAACTGGACACTGTCTTGTACGTATTCCTTTTCGATGCTCTCAACATTTTCTAGCCATCAATGATTTCGCGAGATAAGTGCGCGATAGTTGCTGAATCGTTCGATATCGCAAGTGAACGAATTAACAGCTATTCAATGAGTTTCAAGCGTTCGCTGCGTTTAATAGTGAAAGCCACAAATGGGCCGTACGGCCTGGTAAATTGAGAGAACATAGGTCAGCGTACGAGTTCTCTCTGGTGACATTACGCTCGATTAAGCTCGTAATTTGATCTGTTTTTGCGCGTACCAAGCCTACTTTGTTTAACGTGCACTTTCAGAACTGCGTACGCACCATCGATCTTTTCATATCGATGAAAGCCGTTGGCTATTTTTGTGACTCGCTTTATCAGACGCGAAAAAGTAGCTTAATTTTCAACTCGGCATTATTGCGGGTGTTTCTAGAACTGTCGAGACAATACGGCTGGTCGCAACTGCGAGATCTGCGCCGAGAGCTACTTTGGCGATCCAAATTATGGAGGATGTCACGCGTGCCCGTGTCCCCAGCGAGATAAAAAGTTTTCCAACACGTGCATTTTGCGCGCTGACAACCAAGTCGTCTGCGTTTGCAAGCCAGGTACGTAGCCGCTGCTTTTTCTGAATGACACGTGCGCAGTCTAACGTTATTTTTTTGCAAAATGACAGGCTACGCGGGCAATAGGTGCGAGCGGTGCGCGTACGGGCACTTTGGCTATCCCAGCAGACCGGGCGGCAGCTGCGAACCGTGTCGCTGCAACGCCGCTGGAAGCGCCAGCGACGAGTGCGACACCGAAACCGGACAATGCAACTGCAGACCCGGCTCTACCGGCCGGGACTGCTCCCAGTGCGAGGAGGAGCGCAAGGTCTACGTGGGACTGCAGTGCATGTGTAAGCGGCCCTATTCATTGCTAGCTTTACAACGTCGTCGTCTCTCTCTCTCTCTCTCTCTTTCTCTCTCTTTATCACTGTTTTTGCTTCATTCGAAACTTTCAGCCTGCAACGACAATTGCACTGGTCTGTTGCTCGACGAATTGGAGGATATGAGGTACGAGTTTGCGAATGCTACGACGCACGTCAAGGCCGGTTACATTACGCCTCCGTGGGAAGCACTGGCCAACATCGACGACAATGCCACACTCGTGCTCCAACAAATTCAGCAAAATAAACACTTCCAATACCAACTGGAACAGCTACCCTGGCAACATTACCGATCCTTCGCCGTGCGATCCGAACAATTGCTAAAAACGGTAAGTACTCTTTCACCCAACTTAAATCTCAATTACTTGCTCTTGTAGCTTTAACTCAAAATTTCATTTTATTCTGATTCAGGCTATGAATAGTCTCAATAATGCCAGAATAATCAACTCACAATGCGGCGATTTTCAAAATAATGTTTACAGTTTGCAAATTGAATTTGAACATTTAAAACGCGAATTGAACAGTAAGAAAAGTTTATTTATTGAAAAAAGAAAATGATACTTTTTAAAAAGAACATTTCATTTTAATGTTAATTTTATTATAGATACGATTACAGAGTTATCATATTATGGAAGTGATAACAATAAATTAGAAATTAGTAAATCTTTAAAAAGGGCTCACAAAATATTGAATGATATTAAGCTTCTTGACATACCTAAACGAACTAAGATATTTGAAAATATAACAAGGTAATCGTTGTAAATTAATTTTCTTAAGGGGACCTTACATTTCTAAATTAGGGAAAAAAATTTTTTTCGAAAAGGTTTTTTCAATAGAATAAAACAACAATATAGCTTAATAAAATTTATTGTACAAACTTCATCGACCTTGCAATATTCATAAAAAAATTTTTACTTTTGTCACCTAGTCTCGTCTGCTACGATTACTTTCAAAAAACGTAAAAAAACCGTGACTGACACGATAACAAAAAAACGTTAATTGTATCGTCCTGAAATTTCAAGATAACAATCTGACATGTTATTGCTCAGAATGAACTAGAATGAAAAACATTAGTTAAGAAATAACAAAATGGCATCATTTTTTCGAGAATCGAAATTTTTTTTCGAACATTGTTTATAACTTTAAAAATATTGTGTAGATTTTTACCGTTCTACCTCACACCGAGTAGAAACATGAGAAGAGTATTGTGTTAATTTCAGAACGATGAAATTAATGATTTTTCTTTAATCATGTAGGCCAACTTGAAAAACGTTGTTTAGAGAAAACAGTTGTAGCAGACGACAAGAAACCGCTAAAAATCGACAACAAAAGTTGTTTCATACAATTTAAGCCGTAAAGTATGCGTAAAAAATTTCATTCAGATATGGCTTTTCCTTTCATTGAAAATAAACCTTTGAACAAAATGTAAAATTTTTAGTTTGGGGGTTGAAGGTTCCCTTAAGAATCAATTTTCTTCATTGAAAGTTACTTCTAATACCCGTATTTACAGTGAGTGCACCGTTCACATCGAAATGCTACATGAAATACTCTTATCGATGGAACCTGTGACCATGTATAAATCAGAAGCACATGATTATTATTCAAAATTAAAAGATTTTCAAAGAATTTTAGAAATTATAATGGAAGATATGTTTACGTATGATTCTTATTACAATGAAGTAAATCAAACTTATGGAGTATTTCAAATTCAAAAAGTTGAAGTAGAAAAAGTAAGTTCAGATTTAAATCAATCACTAGATGAAGGACAAGATTATGTTGAGCAGGGATTAAAGTGCATAATTGATGCGGAAAATAATTTACAAGTGAGTTTTAATTTAATATTGTTTCGCACCTATCGTAACCGTTCAAGTAAAACGAAATTATTTTTAGATCATACCAGAACTGCAAGAAAAATTAGAAGAAGCTACAAAAAATCTTAGTATCATTGAAAAAATTCAATATCGATTAAATTATGAGTATAAAAATGACTTTGTAATCGAAGCAACGGCTCACGCTCAAAAATTGTCCGACTATGTTGAACAGTACATTGGGTTAGTACAAGAAGTTAAAATTATTTCTATGACTAGATAATGATTTAAGAAAAACTAATAATTCTATTTTGCGTATTTTTTCAGCTTATTTTTGGCTACTCGTGCTCAAGCTGCAAATCCCCTGAAGGCTAGTCAAGCGTACAGAAACATTGTCAATGATTTGATTGCAGCCAGAAACGATGCTCAAGATGCAAACATAATTCTAGATGGAGTTAAAGCTCAGGTATTCGATTTTTTATTCAATTTCTGAACATATTTTAACAAACTTTGCAATTTTATCTAAAACGTTCCTTACTCAGATTTACCCCGATGGAATAAATTATACAAATTTATTGGACAATGCTTTAGAAATCGGACGCCGATCAAGCGAGCAATTAGAGCGAACCAAAAACCATACTTTACCTGTAATTCAAGCAAGAAGTAATTTAAATAATCAAAAACAATCGGTCGCAGATTTAAAGCATTCTTTGAATACAATGGGAAACAGCGATAATAATATCAATGTAAAGCTTAGAGAACTGCAAAGCAACAGTCAAAAATGTAAGATAAATTTTTGACGCGATGAATGTTTTGAATTTATCAAGTGTTATTCAATAATTATATTTTAAATTTTCCAGTGACAGAAACCGTAAACTTGTTGTTATTAGAAAATGAAAAAACTGACGATCTGATATCAGCAACGAAACGATTGGTCAAAGATTATCAGCAGGGGATCGTGGACGATTTAAATCCACGTTTGGCTGAATTGAAACGTCAAGGCGATTCGAGTATTAGCCTAGCTAGTGAAAAGGGTAGGCCTAGTTTATTTCTAATGCAATGCAATTCGGAATAGAGTCTTATTTTTTATTTTCTTACAGTTGCCGAAGCTCAGAGTACCATTAAGATGTTAGATGCCAAAGTAACGAGCTTAACATCAGCTTCAGACAAGAGACAAGGCAAATTTGACAAGTGGAATAGTACTCTAGCAACAAAATTACAAATTTTGAAAGATAAGATAGCAGAAGCCAGAAATACCGCTGATGGGGTATGAAAATATTATCATTATTTTTTTTTTTAATTATTTTTAGAACAATCGCGTTTTGACAATGTTAAAAATTATTTCAGATTCGAGTTTCAATCAGATCAGCAGAAGGTAAAAAATGCGTGCGATCCTATCGGGCAGCGGACTTGCAACCATCATCGACGACGACGATTGTTATGACTCTCGCCATACCTGAAAGCCAAAGAGAAGGTTTACTGTTTTACCTAGCTAGTAGTATAAATGTAATTTTACTTAGAATCATTTAAAATTGACTCGTTTTTCAATATCATGATCAACTTTTAATGACTGATCTTTCATTACTCAGGATGATTACGTGGCCATTGAAATGTATGATCGTAAAATAAGATTTGTGTGGAACGTCGGAGGTGGTACTGGCGTGGTCACTCATCCCCAAATTCTTAACGCAGGAAGCCTAACCGACGAAACCATGTGGTACCGCATCGAAGCGGAAAGGTATATGTTACAACTCTACCCTTTTACAAATTAATCTCGCAATTTTTGGATTATGGCACATTTGCGTCGTTATAGAATAAGGCACCTTGGAAAGCTAAGCGTCAGCAAACAACTATCGAGAAGCAATAATTACCTTCCTGTTGTCAACATGACAAGCTCAGAATTCGGCCTCCTCGACGTCACATCGTTGGATCGTATTTGGATCGGAGGCCTTCCCGAACTGCAGTTTAAACCAGCTAGCCTCATAGCTCCTGTCGGTTTGCCAGCTTGCGTTCATCAGGTTATTTTGGATGGCAAGCCAATTGGGCTCTGGAATTTTCTGAGTAATGCTCCCGATAACGCGTGTCGGCCCTGCACCGAAGGGTAATAAAATGATCCACCCGTTATAATCGGGCTTCAAGTCTCGTACGCTCAATTCTATCCCGAGCTCAATTTAATACAAACGTACCTTATACTTTCAGTGTCGAATACATGTCTAGCGATGTATCATATAGCTTTAATGGAAAAGGGTATGCTGTAAGAAGTCGAGTTAACTCTGGGCCTTACAACAAATACACATTTGGCGTATCCATCAGTTTTAGAAGTTACGATGAAGATGCTTTGCTCTTCCTCGCGATCGATCTCGATAACGTTAGTATTCATTATATTCAGATAGACATAGCTAAGTAGACTTAACAATTGTTGTATATTTTTTCAGCCGGAGAGTCACATTGTGATTTTCCTAAGCGAGGGCCACGTCGTACTGCAGATTGCGTACGGCGGTGGTGTCGTGATGAAAATGACTTCTTCGTTGAAGTATAATTCTGGCAATTGGACGAAGGTCGACGCATTTCGGCAATATCAGCCACGCACGGGTATGGAGAAGTGTAGTTTTAGCGTCAACGGCGAAAGTGACAAGAAAATCGGAGAACCAACTCCGCGACAGGAAGACATACCTGATTTGTCGAACGCCAAATTCTTCATAGGCGGTGTCCCACCGAGCTTTCGTGTTGACAATTTTACCCTGCCGACTCGAGTTTCATTTTTAGGCTGCATATCCAATATTCTCGTTCAAGAAGGTTACGATCCAATGGCCGAACAATACTATGGAGTCGAACCTGGTTGTAAAATTAACAAGGTATTTAAAGCAGTCATTTGACATTATTTTTTGAATAATTGATTACCCATTTCTATAATATGAATTAAAATCTTTTTCGAATTATTCATTCAGCCTGTGACCATCGTTGGTTTTTATGGCAACGGTTTTGTTGAACTTGCGGGCAGAGATCTTCGAAAAAAGACATCGTCTCTAGGCTTTTCGTTTAGGACATTACAAGACTACGCTGTGTTATTACTATCGACCTTTGAGGGACCTGAAGAGCGACTTTTTGGCATTCCAAAGCAAGATACTACTTTAATCGTAAGTTATTACTCAGGTATTTTCACAAGAAATGTAATCCAATTTAAGAATCAATTTTACTTGCAGAAGGACAACTATTATTCCGTTGCAGTGATTGACGGTCATTTAGAGGTACGCGTCAATAATGGTAAAGGTGAAGCTGTTTTGCAATCGAATGGCACATTTAACGATGGCAAATATCACACTGTCATTGTGAATAAGAAAAGAAAAGAAATTGAGCTGAGAATCGATGATGCTTATCAAATGAGTGAGAAACTGTCGATTCCAGACGCAGTGAGAGCTCCGAAATTAGGTGGATTATTTTTCGGAGGTTTGCCGCAATTGATTATGAGTACTAAGAAAATTTCTACGAAAACATCACTACAAGGCGCGATTAAAGACTTTATTTACAATGACGAGTGAGTCTTAAATTATTTGAAAAAATGGCATCTCTTTTTTAAAAATACTAAAATTCTCAAATAATCGATGTTTCTTGTTTATAATTACAGTTCAATTTTGAATTTCGGCGATGCTGTATCGTTTGAACATGCATTTATTGGTCGGCCCGGTCCTACAATGGGCAAAGATTCGTCGATGTATTCGCAATCGGCCTCTTTAGCTAGAGGATTATCGACCCAACCGGAAGGCTGCCGAAAAGTCCCATATTATTCATTAGAACCTGGTGCATTGAAATTCGGCGACAAAGCAAATAGCCACACCCAGCTGTATCTGAACTTTGAGGATTTTTGGTTACAAAAGAAAAAAATAGAATTCGATTTCCGAACTTACTATCCTGACGGTCTTCTATTCATCACTCCGGTTAGCTATTTGAAGTTGTTTATATTTTCCTAGTCATCCGCGCTAGATCTTTATAATATTGCATGTTCCAGGGCGTTCGACTGAAAAACTATTTAGCCGTCGTCATTCGAGATGGTCAATTATCATTGGTCATTAAAAGCAAACAAAAAAAAGAGATACTATTCAAAACGCCATTCAACGATGGCAATTGGCACCACGTGACGATCGGACACGGAGGTAGAAAATTGACGATGATCGTCGACGCGCAAACTCCGATGACCATCAAAGTGCCGAAGAAAATCGGTTTAACAAACGTCATGTACATCGGAGGTATACCAGAGAGCGGCACACCGTTACCGGATAGCGTCGTTGCCAAACTTCAGACTCTCAAAGGTTGCATTCGAGGTCTCAAAGTCAACGGAAACGTATACGACATGGTTGGTTCCACTAGCCGACCTTACAACGTTGGCCAATGTTTTCCCAACGTCGAAAGTGGTGCTTACTTTCACGAAGAGGCCTACGCCGTTTACAGTGAGTAAAATTGAAAATTCAAGAAATGTAAGAGGTCTTTAACAAATTCACTTACTCCCAATTTCGATGACAGAAAAAAACTTTAAACTTGATGTAATATTGGAGCTTCAATTGGAAATTCGTACATCTGAGTTGAGTGGAGTTCTCTTGTTCATATCCGGATCCGAAGGTTCACCCTCCTTATCATTAGAGTTGCACGAAGGAAAAGTTGTCATGTCCAGTGATACCGGTGACAACCAGGTTCTGCAGGTTGAACAAAACTTCCTTAATCCGTACACCATATGCGACAATAGGTGGCATAAAATTCAAGCCGTTTACAACGACGGCGAACTAACCCTCAGAGTCGATGAGTTGGATGAGAAGTACGGCCTACCGATCAAGACTGATTCGCCATTCGTGGCAACTTCCATAACTGGTTCTTTGTACATTGGTGGCTTGCCAGGTTGGTTTATCTTTAAAGATTATTTAAAATAATAAAAAATGAAATCTCAACTGACTGACAATAACATTTTTCAAACGACAGTTTCAGCGCCAAAAGCGAGCACCCCGTTGACGAGGGACCACTTCAACGGATGTATGCGCAACATCATGATCGGTGGTGAGCGACGCGATTGGACTGATATGTCGGAGCTTCACAATATACACCTCAATACGTGTCCTGTACAGTGAAGCGAGATCTCTGCTTTTCCATTTCATAATTCTAAGTTTCAATTAAAACGATGACATTTTTCGTCATAAACCAAATCCAAAGACTACGAGTCAAAAGAAAAACACGTGAATCCAAGTTCACCTTTTGATAATACGCTTTTGAAGAACATCGTTATTTGTCAATACACTCTTTCGATGCTTTGTTCATATAGAAAATAGTTGTTTTCATGCGTTTTATAGTTTTAAATTCGAAAGGTTTAAAAGTACTTTTTATTCAAAGAATTTTAATTCATAGTTTTAATGTCAGTAGGGGCACGGGGACGCTTATAATCCACTACTCCTACTAATACCCAATCTTGAATATTTTTTGTATAAGTAAAAAACTGCCATATTATGTAATATGTATTTTCAGTTATAAGTTAAACATTATAAATCAGTATTTTATGAATTATCATTAATGTTTTTAATAACATTTTTAACGAGTGATAGGTGTTTATAAAAATAAAAAAACGATTGTAATTTATACTGATAGCAGATAGATATAGTATTAAATTTCATTCATGTATTGTATAGTTTGAATTTCAATTATGTAAAAAATGATGTGAAAATAGATGTTTAAAAAATTTATATAGTGCAGTATCTTTTGTATCATATAAATACTGATCATATAAATACTGGAATTATAAATAAATACTACTCGTTCGGGACCCACAACGTTCTATAACATTCAACATTTTTATCTTTCTCCAATGCAAGCCATTTCTTCGTCCCTAAAAAGTATCAAAAATCTATTAATGGATCCATAGTAAATCCAAATTGTAGATGAAAGCATTTAGTTTAGCATTACCTTTTTAAAAATTCGAAATATTTCTTGCTACAATTGGACCAAATATACTTATCGAATGAGTGCAAATTTTTTGTGTCCATAGCATAATGAATACCTGGGTCAGAAGTTTTGCATGAACTGTAATCAATATTGTCTTCAAATATTCTAGTATCTCCGTCATGACGAAGACCTAATCTGTAATAATTAACTTGTGTTTATTATGGATAAGTTTATTAAAAATTAAAACAATTTAATTAGTCTTACGAATGAGCTATTTCGTGCACAACAGCGCTAAGAGAGCCAAACTTTCCATCATCTTCACAAATAACACCATTATTTTTGGGATCACACACACCTTTCGTAAAAGCGTATCCTATTTTTGATAGTACAAACTTATTTTTGGTAATGTAAAATAATTATGTAAAAAATAATATTACTTACCAAGAACATTAGCGAAATTAGAATAATAAAAGGGATCAGAAGTTGTCACCATCCCACGCAACCTAACATTGGCATTAGAAATTTTACATTTAATTATCACATTATATCTTCAAAAGCTTCACTTTATCCTTTTTACATACCCTGTTAATGTTACAATTATGTTATAATCTGTTATATTGGTTTTTTCGACGTAAGCTTTTATTTCACCGAAATTATTAAGTGCCTCATCCATGTCAAGAGAATTCATGAACCACCGGAATTTATGTTTGTCAGTGTAGTTTAAAACATTTTCTTCCTATAACCCCACGTGTTAATTAATTATTTATTTATTTAATTATTTTTTTTTACTTTATTTTTTATAAGTAATAACTGTTTTCTCAAGTTACTTACTTCAACAACTATAACACCAGTTACTTTTATATTAATTTGTATTTCCTGAATTTGCCGATATTTTAATTCCACGGAAGACCAGAAAACATTCATGTATTTATCAATGAATTCCAAGTTTTCATGCAATTTTCTGAATTATATGGGAAAAATGAGCCGATGACGAAAATAATATAATAAATATAAACACATATACTCACTTAAACAAGGCATAGTCTACGACAGTTAATATTTTTACATTCAATTTTTTCCACTCCCTATCCGGTGTCAGAGATAAGTTTTCATGATTTCTTGAAATTTTCGTCCTTTTTTTAACTTGAAAAAAAATATCAAACTATACTAAAATTACATATGAATTTCTTCTTCTAATATTTTTAGCAATCGGTTTGTTCAACGAGTGTAATTAGACTATACTGTTATTCGATAAACTCTCCAATTTAAGCTGCATGATCCAAAACTCAAACATATCTCGACTTAAATTCGAGTTTTCAATTAATTACTTTTATTATTTATCAATCGTTTGTTTGATCAAAAATTATGAAATTCAGATTTTTAGATAATTTGACTTACAAGTGTTTATAAATAATTATTATCATTGGTAAGAGTTTTATTTAAATGTATTAAAACAACATTTTTAATTAGTGATATACGATACAAGGGTCACCATAAGTAAGATTTTATGGCATAGGGTAGTTTAGGGCCCGAGCACAGCCAGGATCTTGATATCTATGTCAGAATATCCCTTATACGATACGAGTGTCATACACAATTTTAGCCAGGCGAAAATGGTATATCAGATCTAACTCTAGAACTGATATCAGATCTGATATAAGTTCTGGTAAATGCATATCAGATCTTATACCAAATCTTATATCAGAATTTGCATGTGATATTCGATAATGTCAGATCTGAAGAGACTGTATCGCTTCTAATTATTTAAACAATAAATCTATTGATGGTTAAAATTTAATAATAAATTAAGTTATGTTTTAAAAATCATATTGATAATATCTTTAAGAATAATTCCTCCAATATTTGGGTTTTTTATCAAGTGAATTTAAATTGATTCAATAAATTTTATTGTTAAGATTTGTTATTAAATTGTAATTATTTATAAACTTATTGTTTAAATAATTAAAGGTGTTACAGTCACTTCAGATTTGACATTAGATCTGAAGTCAGATCTTATGTAAGTTCTGATGTTGATTATCGTATGCAAATTCTGATATAAAATCTGGCATAAGATCTGATGTGCTTTTTCTTTGAAGATTTTTAATAAATATACAAGATTTGAAAATGAATTTTTCTTGCTCTTTGAAATATAAAGAAATCATTTTTATAATCATTATAAGTATTGATATTTATTTCATTTTACCGTAACCATGCAATCCTTCATCATGCTTCAAAGTTTCTAAAACATGCAAAATTTCGGTTTGTGGCTTTGATGTTGATATGTCACGTCGAAGTCTTAAAATTTCAGTTTCTTCATTTATCCATATAAATTTATAAATTTCATACGGTATTATTGATTGTTGTTCTTCCCATGGCCCAAAAATACCTGCCTAAAATATTATTTCAACAGTTTCAATTAGTGTTACAACTCGTGAAATATACAATGATTAAGTATCTTAAAATTAAAATTCTATTTACAAAATATTCAGCCTCACATCCTTTTTTATACTTATAGTCATGTATTGGCATTAGTGAAGCACTCATAGCAATATCTTCGCAGACAACATCTTTATTCCCAAACAGATCCTAATTGACAATTTAAAAAATAATTTTGGCCCACAAATTATCATGAAGGTATAATGTATTGGTATGTAAGTATTTCATATAGGTTGTTATAATAACGATCAATTTACCTTGAAGTATATTCCTGTAGAATTCAATGCCCAAACCGATACATTTTGAAAAACTTCAGAAGCTCGAGGTTTCAAATTGAATTCATAAGTATTGCCGGTGCGTTCATGATCAACAATTTTGAAAAAAAAACTTTTCTCTTCACATTGTTGATTTTGAAGTGCAAAAAAGACGATTAAAATATATTTACACGCAATCCAAAATTTGAAAAATAATTGGAAGATATCATTTATGGACTGTATAAAATACATTTTCTACAGTTAGGTAAACCAATATTGACTGAATTTTAAACTTTTCTATCTGTGAAATTAAATAATATGCTAGTTGTACTTCTTTATCATGAATTATATATTTTTCAATTTGTCAAAGATACTCTGTTCAGCATATATGATATCAAATCTAAGCTTTATCTTTTAATTTTAGAGAACAAGTTATTAGACTTCAAATTTGTTTTAAATTACCTTACTGATTACAGTTTTATGGTATCAAATCTAATACTGGGCAATACAAAGTTTAATGTCGTTGATTTTTTCTGTAAAGATGGATATACATTTCTGTTGTTCACTGTCATTGCGGCAAGGTGTCATTCGTACACATGAAACTTGTACACGGGCATTTCTGTACACAAGTAAAATGTGTCCAATTATAATTATAATTATATAATTAGTACACATAATCCAACTTTTTTTTACATTCAAAAAATTACGATTACGATTATTTTTTTGAATTTTTTGAATTTATTTGAATTATTTGAATAAAAAAAAAGTTGGATTATGTGTACAAATATTGGATACATTTTACTCGTGTACAAGTTTCATGTGTACGAATGATACCTTGCCGTATGAAGCATTAGAAAGTTGAATTTTTGATTCTTAAAAAGTTGTTTTTATTAATAATTTGTAATTTATTGCATTATTTTAATTTATTTTTATTTTTCATGGAAAGTCATTATCTTCTAAAATTCTAAAAGTTAAGTTAAATCTATAAAAAAAAACCTCAAAAATGTGCATTACGTAGATCTGCGTAAGAATTAAGACACCTTCCTAAAATCCAGTAAAATATGTGACCAACTTTGATTTGGTTCTGCCTAAAATTTAACAGTCAACTAAATTTAAAAAGAATTAATTTTTCCTCATTTATAGAGAATACACATCAAATGTTTATAGAAAAAATATGTGTACGATTATTCATGAAAATTAACTTTAATGAAGAAAAAGATTTTTTGTCATATGTTATTTAAGATTGTTCTCGTCATCAATAGTTCCCTTGCCCCACAAGTCTTCAGGCCTGGGCAAATGCGAGACAGTAGGGAGAGGGGTAGTAGTAATCTCTTCCTGCGCACGGGTTCTAAGCCTCCTGCAGGCCCTTCTAAGAAGAAGGAGTTTAAATAAGAAAGAGAGAAAAAAAATAAAAAAAATATATATAAATCCACAAAATAGGGCGCGTTGTGTGTATAAGAAAAAACACGAACAAACTTTCTGAAAGAAATTTGTATCTTTACTCTTCATACATATATACACTTACAAACTATGTGAACTATATATCCTCTTCAATTATTGATTTAAGGGTATCGAAAAAAGTATCTGCGGTAAATTCAGATACAAATACAGCATGTATTGGTTAATTTAACTTTTTGATACTTACATGCACGCTTGGTTTTACTTAAATTACGGTAAAAGATTATTCGAATTATGAATACATATCCATTCACCTATGCTATACTCACATGTATTTGCAGTGATTCTTTTTCGATTTTCATGTATTACATATAAAAACATAAATATTTACAGACCAACACGAAGTTTTATCTCGTTAATAATATTATATTCCATAATTAAGGAGAATAAAATTTCATACACTTTTTTCATTTGTTGTAAACATAGACTACTGCACTCTATAATTTATTCATTTGCGCATTACAAGGCTTTTCCGAGCATATTAAAGTAACTAAGAAACATTTCAACATTCATTTTAAATTGTATATTTCTCTTCAAAAAATAGTAATTATCAAATAAATTTGATAAATATAAACCTGCTAAATATTCATTTAAATTTCAAATGAAGTAAGATCCATTCCTCACATTAAAAATTAGTGACTATGATAAAATATTTCTCCTGAACCTCAATTCTCTGTCATTAATAATCAAGGATTTTTCATTAGAAATAGATGTTATCTATTTTAGTTCAAATATCAAATATGTGACAAATATTTTATGTACAAAACTATTTCCCTTATTTTCCAAATTATTTTTATGAAATTTTTCTAAATTATAGAACTTCAACCTGGTTTAAAAATCAAAGTTTTTGCAAAGAAGTGAATGATAAAAATAAATAACACGTCTGATAACATTTTTGTTTCAATAGTAATATTGAATGAAGAAAATACATTGTTTGCTGAAATTTTTCTATAAGCTGATACATTCAAATAAAATTTGAAGCGCCCGATAAATCTTAAACTAATTTTTATTATAAAAGATAATCAGCCTTTTTATACAAAATATTGACTTTAAAGTTATGGCACAAATTATTTTTGATAACTTACTAATTGATTGTTTGGATGAAATTGCACGAAATAAAACATCCAAACAAAATAAACTTAGCATAATTTTGAATAAATAAAATTTACATGGTAAATATTTTGTTACGAATACTTTCAGAAAAATGATAAGTGTGGTATAAACAATTAAAGTTTGACGTTCAAAGAAAATATATAACGTTGGTTAAAATACAAAACAGATATTTTAAATGATAAAACTTGCACGTTTTGAAAATATTCAAATCGCTTTTTAAAAACTCTATTATTTTTAATATTTCAGGAATGCAATAAGTATTGAAACGGGTTTCAAGATTGTGAGATGTCAGAGAATTAAGTTACACGGCAGAAATTTTACTACATACACTCACTTGTATCTTATAAACGGTAATGCATATTTATAATGATCAACTAAACTCAAATGCATCAACTAATACTATATTAACTAATATTATATTATGTGTTTAAAAAGTATATTTATAAATTAATTTAGAAATATAAAACATTTATTAACATAAAGCCCTTCATCATTGAACCAAATAAGTTGATAAATTATTAGTATTCGTTTGATTATATTGAAAAAATCACAGTGTGGGTTCGTAATAATATTTTACAAAATGATTACTTCGGTAAACTTCCAACACCGGAATTTTTCATAAATAAATTTAATATACTTTGAATAGCTGTTTCAAATCAACACTAAATCGGACATAATAACACATTTAAGTACATAAATTAAATGCAAAATAATGAAACCATAAAAGGAAATTTAGAATTGAAATAGAATACAAAGAAACACCGATTTAAAAAATCTTGTATTACAAATTTTAATACTATAGCATTACAAGTAACAGACTTGAATTTGCATAAAAGGATATACATATATATTAAAAAACTTGAACAGCTTTCATGTTAATAATATAGACTGAAATATTTATGAATAGATATGAAAATGACACTGTACAGGCAGTCAAGCTCAATAGACATAACTTTTTATGGAATTTAACATGTACTTAATCGAAGTAGATTAACAAGTATATAAATACTATATTGTACTGTTGCAAATGATTAGTTTCCCAATTTATAGGAAGAAAGAATATAAATTATTGGGGCGATTTGACAATGTATGTATAAAATGTACACATAAAATAATAATCTACCTACGTTTAATCTTAAGCTAGATAACAAGATATATTACGCCAATAAGTTACGTGCAATACATTCGGTTTGCCGGAAAACAATTCCTCTTATTTATGTATATTAATCTTACATTGGTAAAGCGTCGATGTTGACGTCGGAAGCGAACATTTTCTTCAAAGTTATGATTAACGATTTGTATAACATATTGCATAAATATATTCACATTATTATAAAATATTCGATTACGATTGCAGACGTCAGCATCGATAATGACAAGTTTTTTGTTATTTGCATTTTATTTGTTGCCTAAACATTTTGCAATTTAAAACTGACTAAGCAATACTATGCTTTTGTTATAAATAATATGGGCTTGTATAAAATAGTAACTATGAGCAACGAAGGGTACGTTTAGATGAAGTATATAACGCAATTTTCTTGTGTAAAACTAGATGACAAGAGCCATATCCTTTTTGTTCGGTAAATTCACTTTTTTACCTTGCCAGAGACTATTGTGTATCGTAAAGGCGTCTATGGTGACAGTCAAGTGTTTTGTATGAACTTGAGAAAAACATTTACCACCAGAATTATACCTGGAACCAAAGTAAAAAATTTAAAGCCACTTGTAAAATTGATGAAAAAGTTGAAAAATGTTGTCTTACTTGAAAAATTTGTCGAACATATTGTCGATGACCTGTTTTGGGCCAGTGCCGTATAATTTACTTATTTCGTCTCTATCTGGACAATAAGAATACAAAGCCCGAAATTGGCAGCCAGCATCTCGGAAGAGAATCAGGAAGTGTTTACTTTCGGATCTTGATATCTCATCGAGCACTCGGCGTTTAGCATCTCTGTTAACAGTACCCGGGAAGACACAATATTCTACGGCGTTCAACATAATACCTCGATTCGACTTTGTCGCTGGCTGTTTATAAAGTCTCGGGCCTAAAATTTTGCGAATTAAAACAATCGAATAGAACAATTTCATAATAAAATATATTCAAATGTAATTACTCACCATTGTAATCCATCATTGAACTAGCAGTACTGCTGATATCACTACTTCCATCATCAAAAACTCTTCGCTTAGTCATAAGACCTGGTGGAAGAGATCCAGGTCCTGACGGAGACGGTAAGTGCCTCATACTTCCCATACCAGGACTCGCCGCTCTTCTTGGCGGTGTTGCTCGTCCCAAACCACTGTCCGTATCTGTAGTATAAAAATTGACGTTATTAATGCCTGTTAGCAAAAATGAAAAAGTAGAATCGAAAAAACTGCTTTAGACATAAGACAAACAGCGGGGAATTTTCACCTTAGTTTAAAATTATTGGATAAACCAGAAAATGAGTAGTTAATCATCGAAACCATTACAACATCAGTAATAACAGAAGAAAGTGTATACGAATCTGTTCGTCATCGAGGTAAAAAGAAAAAGTTAGTCACTATCTCCACATTATTATTAACCTCTTTATGCTTATTGAATGCGTTTATACAAATCATTCATAAATTAATGCATCAAATTAATAGTTTTTTTTCTAATTTGAAATAAAAGTTTTTACAAAATTTGTAATGGACAATACCCAATCAACCCGCTTCTCACGACTAATAATTTTTTCAAGTTTGAAAATTATCAATACAATTTTACCTGCAAGGCCATAATATTGATTTCAAATTTTTATTCTAGATTATTTTTAATACGTGTAATAATATATATAAATTTCATTAGAAGATATTGTATACGTGCTGCAAAGTTAAAAACAAAGAAAACCAATTTCGAAATTTCCCGCTCATTCCACAGCTTACTTCATTTCTCGTCGCACCAGATAATCACAAGCCAGGAAAAGTGACTGTTCTAAACTACCCATTTCTTTTTAACATACAATTTTTATTATAAAAAAATAATTTAGTTTTTAGCTGTATCAAGTATTTTTGAACTGATACAGAAAAAAATAAATATCTTACTTCTAAACACTTTGCAATACCTTGGAGCATTATTATTAAGCATCTGAAAAATTGATAGTGTTATATGTTTGATGTGAAATTCAAAAAAATAAAACCAGACGAGTAAAACAATGTGGAAATAATTAAGTACATCTGGATCAGCATAAAAGAACCCTGTAAGATATTTATAACATTAAAACCCTTAACCAGTGCTACTATTAAAGGGCAAAATAAAATTTTTAATTTATTTTAACATTGTTGATGATTCAGCTACGTCAAAGTTTTACTAATCTAGGCAAGTGCGTAAAATTTTTCAAAATATTACTAAAAACATACTTCTTTAATATTTCTAATCTGTCATCTATAAAAGTTGTTCGTATTTATCGTATAATCAGTGAAATAAAATATGACGTATTCCATAATAACACGCTTGACCAAACAGTGCACTCGCGTGGGGTATTTTTTAATGTATAATTTTTCTAACTCGCCGGGGCCGGCGCAATTGGGTTTGAAAAAATATTGTGCACATTCATTTCGATAGATTTTTGTTTGTTCTTTCCAATGATGGTATTAGTTTTTCAAAAAAAGTTACTTTTCACGGAGAAAATAGACTTTAAACTTAACTCCATTTTTCAGCGAGTATACCCTCTTCGATTTTATTCATAGATATCTCAACCGATAGGCTATCTAATAACGAAGGTTTGTATAAAATTTCAAGTTGGAGACTCAAATGGTTTTAAGGATAAATTTGGCGTAACGGGAGTAACAGGAGTCGACGAGAATAGCCGCGCGCGTCCGTAAAACCACGTTTTTCGGTACTTAATTGTTCGTAAATTTTGAACCGGTTGAGTCTCCAACTTGAAATTTTGTACAGATCTTCGTTATTAGATTACCTAGGGATTAAGATATCTATGAATAAAATCAAAGGGGATATACTTGCCAAAAAATTGAGTCAACTTTAAAGTCAATTTTCTCCATGAAAATCAACTTCTTTTAATTAATTGATACCACCATCGGAAAGAACAGACAAAAATCTATTGGAATGCGTGTGCTCAATATTATTTCAGACCCAATTGCGCCGGCCACGGCGAGATAGAAAAGTTGCGATACATTAAAAAATGCCCCGCGCGAGCGCACTGTCTGGTTGGGCGTGGAATAAGTCATATATGACAAACTGGTGAATAAATATTAATTAGTTTACTAATGTGATTTTTTTTAATTCCAGTTCTAAAACTGGTAGTCCGTTTTACTTTACCTAAACCCAAAATCTTTGTTATAATATTTGTTATTTTGCTGGATCAATACTAAAGGAAATTGTATTGATTTATATCTCTTATAAGATTGCTTCACAAAAATATATATTAAAAAAATTTTTTTTGTACGATAAATGATACACTACCAATGAAATGCGTTATTAGAAAAACTTTGACTTCTTGATGTACGCGATGATAGTCTCACATTACAAATAATAAACGTACACATAATAAATGCATATATATAAAGGAATTATATAGTATAAATATTGGAGAGTAAGTGCAGATCTGCCACCTTGTAAACAACAGCAACCTTCCACCGAGATTAAGTGTGTTATATATATTATGATTATTATTTTACACTTATAATGGTTGTGGTAAATGTTAAGCAAATAAAATCTTTGACCGTAAATATCAATAACCAGTGAGTGAAAAAGATTTATGGAACAAAATGGTAACCAAATAACGAAACAAAAAGATTGAGGCAAAATATTTGGAATAAACATATGTATAGTGTGCATTTCCAAGTCACTAATGTGCTTCTTACCGCACAGATTCATCATCGAATTAGACTTTCTTCCCTTAAAGTTTTGGTAACTCGGATATTTAGGTCTGCCTCTAACCTGTTGATGAGAGTCCTGAGAATCTGCAATAATAGATAGGCAACGTTTCCAATATGTTACACTCTCTTTCGCGCTTGAATTGTGCATTGGCAACATTTATAAAAACTTATCGATCGTTTTTTATATATAAAAGATACATAGCATTAATAATTATGAATCTAAAACTGAAATCATTTCATCTCATCTCTAAGGAGGAAACAATAATGCTTTGATCAAATGTAGGCAACATAAAAAAGCTGGTGCTTTATATATCATTATATATTCACCTATACTAACATTAGGCTACTACTTTCATTTAGTGGAACAATATAACTTATGTTCTAATAAATCAAGACACTTGCTAATAATTTACGTTTAAAATAAACACAAAAACAAATAATCAAGTACCAAAATAATCAAATTTTAAGGAAAAATGAAGAATAAAAAACACAGTTAAAAAAAATAAAAAAATAAAATGAGTAAATATGTGTAAGTGTCATGTGTGCTATGAGTTGTATATTACATACATATTATTCTATTCATATAGCGTCGTCATTTCAAGATCCTGTAAAGAATTTAACAGCTATCTACTTTTTAAATACTACAATTATTATGTGGCATTTTGAAGATGATATGAAATTTGAACGTACTTGCGAGAGTGAGCGTTGACGAGGTGAGTGAAGACTCACCTCTTGATGTCTTGTAAGAACCTCGTCTACCCAATAGATTACTTCGTGAAGGCGATGGACCCCGTCCGTCATCTGGCGAATCTATGGAAGATACTAAAATAGGGTAACAAACTATTATAGATGGTTAGTTCAAGCCTTATATGAATATGAAGTGCCGTTAGCGTGCACGATTTCAATGAATATGTTCAATTTTTTTCATGAAATGAAAAATTATAGTAAAATTTCGTTAATTTGAACATTGATAATTCCAAATTATGCTCTGGTTTAAAAATTTCCTATTTTAATATCAGCTTTATCATTTTCGGTATCTCAAAACATCATCAATTCGAAATAAAAATAAAAAAATTAAAATACTATTCATATTATACTACAATGTAAACGCAAGTTTATGTTTAAAAATGAAATTACATTATAAAAGTGAATACGTTAAACTTCAATTACGAACTAGGCTTTAGTCGACCAAGTAATAGGTGATTTCTCAACATTATATCGAGTAAAAAAAATTATACATACTTTACAATATTACAAAAATTGAACCTGTTTTAAAAAAGTTTAAAATGATAAAAAAAATAAAACATTCATAGCTACTGAATACGGCATTTTTCCGGAGTAATCTATCCATATGATTGAAAAATAAAACTGCGAATAACTACGAATATAACTTTGATTTTTGATAATCCGAAATTTTCGTTAATTCGAAATACAGCCTGCATCTTGGATTTTGAATTAACGAGATGTTACTGTATTAGTATATTCATGTTCCATAAAATTGATTCTAAGTCATTGATGTGCATCTGAATGTAAAGGACTAGACATGCAGTGCAGGATAAAATTAATCAATACAGGTTAAATGAAAACTAATCTCTTCATGTCTAACTGCATATGATTTTTTCAATCAAAATGAAAAAATCACTAAAATTGATTGGATATGATTAAAAGCAGCAACGGTATGAAATCTACCCGAAATATAAAATAGATCATAAGATTTTTTTATCTCAGTACAGTCTCTCTTTAAAAATGATTTTCAAAAGAAAGATTTTAAAATTAATTTATAAAAATTAAATACAGTATTCCAATGTTAATACTATATAATTTTAATGCATACGACATATTCAAATTCGTTAATATTGATGTGTGTAGTGTGTGAATGTGTGCATACCCCTGAGGCTGCTGCCTCTGTAAAGAGAGCTGGAACGGCGTTCTTCGAGATGAGCAGTAGTCAAACTGTCTTGAGAGCCACGATAGTAATCCCGCCTCATCGTTGGTGATGTCAGCGACGCTATATGGTGTATTTAAGTGCCAATAATGTAATTTAGCTCAAACATTCTTTCCTTATCAAAATTAATTCCAAAAAAAATTTCATGTACAGTTTAATTTTTGCTTTTAAACTACATTAAAGAACAACACTGTTTGAAAAATAAGTTTAGTATTTGTTACAGTAAAAATTAGAAGAATCTAATATAAAATTTTTAATAAATTTTATGGAAACCAAGAGTTATCAGGTCAAAGAAAAATTTATTAAGCATTCATTTTTAAATCTTTGATCGAATCATATAGTAAAATTCCAATGTTCATACTGAATTAAGTAAATTCATGTCCAATCTCAGAAGTGGAGAGCAATTTTTGAGCTTTCTTTGGTGCATGTTTAAAATCAATATCAAAGAATAAAATTTAACTGATTAACAAAAAAAATTTTAAAGATAACTTTTGCATTAAACATATTCTGAATTAAACATTAAGCATCGATAATTACATTCAAAAATAATCACACAAGTATAATGGTAAATCGCCATGCAGAGTCAAACAAATAAAAAACGTCAGCTAGGGTCATTCTCAATACAACAATAAAATCAAGGAAACTTTTCCCCAATCAACACACGTATTTCTCGGAATAAAATTAGCATTATAATTAGTGAGGAGAAAAGTTATTTGTGTAAATAGTTTAAATTCCGAGAAATATTTTACGTAGTGACAACTGCAATTAGTTTTTGAAGAAAATTACCTGTACTCAGATTTGAGGATGACCCTTTCTTTCCTCTACTAGGCGTCAGAACGCCAGAATCCAAATCTGCGCCTGCATCAACATGAATAGTTTTTGGCCGTGGTCGTATAGGAGTGGCTTTATTACGCAGTTTAGCCGGCTTTAATGCATTAAGCAATTCCTTGTCAATGACCTTCCCCTTAAGTAACAAAACGGAATGTTTAAGCTATATAGAAAATATTCATGATATAAAATAACATATAAACACATATATTCGTGAGTCGAGGAAGCTTACTTCTCTTTCGGCTTCTTCTATTGCTTTTTTAAGTTTATATTGTTCTAGAATAGAAGCCCTTCGTGCTTTTTCTTCTTCTTTTTTTCTTGCCCTTTCTTCTTCTTTCAGCTTCTCTTCATCTCGGCGTCTTTGAGCTTCGGCTTCTTTGCGTGCTTTCAGTTCTTCCTGTTGTTGCCGTCGCTGTAAAGACATTAACATGATCTTCTCTTTCTTACGCTCCATTTCGTCAATGGAATTCTAAAAAGTAAAAAATTTTCAAAAAAGTTAGTGGATAACAAAATAAACTTCAATCATCTCGTTTTCAAAAAATTATTAAAAATCGTAATTTGTCAATTGTAACTTTTGGTTATATACATAATAAAAACGTGTTTACTCACAGGATCTGGATGCGCCAATTGATTTCCTATCAGCAATCCAACACTGTTTGCTCCTTTTTCAGAAGCCAAATTGCGTTGTCTTTCCTTCTGTTGTTCTTTTGCTGCTTCTCGATCTTTAAGTTCTTTTTGCTTTTGAAACTGCTGTTCTCTTTCTTCAGCCGCTTGTCTTTGCTTTTCTTTCTCTATTTCTTTTTGTGCGGCAATCTGTTGCCGTTGCCTATCGATTGCTGTACTAGCGGGTGGAGGATCATAGCGAGCAATGAAATCATTTTCATCAATATACGATGAAACACTTCTTTCCTAAAAATTAATAGAAATTACGTTGATATTTTTAGTACTTTAAATTGTAATTAAAAAGTAATATCAATAGGTGCTGTGGCACCTATTCGACAAAGTATAAAAAAAATTATCAATTTACTTTGAACTCACCTTTTTGGGGGATAATTTTTTTGTTCTTAGCGAAGGTTTTGGCTTTTTTGGTACATCGTCAAATGATATATAAAAACCTTTTCCACTAGCATCACTTGATTCTAATGGCACAACTTCGCTAGCGTTGCCAGATGGTGATGGAGTTTTTTCTCGCAATGAGGAGTGAGGTTGAAACGAATTCCTTGATATAGACGGTCGGGTTGGTGATGGTATCCTGTACGTTCGACTACCTGACGTGATATTTAAGTTTCGCATGCCTTGATTAAAGTCTTCCTCATTAACCAAGTACGATACATTGGAAGGTTCAACTTCTTGTTGATGCATAGAGTTTAACCGTTTTTCACTGTTATTTTCACACTGCATGGATGTGTGATGTACAGACTGCCTTTTTACTTCAGCACTGTCGTTCATCAACTGACTTATTCGATGTACCTGAACAATGTGTGATTTTTTTTATTTTTTCATAAAACTAAGTTGATATTAACTTCAACTTTAAAAAAAACTTTACTTTCATGTTGATTGAAAATACCAGAATGTAGGGGTGAGCGGGGGATGAGAGGTAAGTTGGCAAAAAGTAAAAGGTGGAATATTTCTTCTTATCAATAGCTTGAATCGAAATGGAGCTATAGCATACAAAAACTAGATAATTATGGTGTTAGGATTACTGACAGTATCATCTTTATGGAAGTAATTGATAAGGAGAAATATTTCATTTTTCAAAATTACCTCACCTGCCAACACACCCCGCTCTCCCCTACATCGATAACAGATTATTTTATTTTGAACAAATAATTATAGTCATTTAAAAAATAAATATAAAAACAGTAACGTTACCGATTTAAATCGTGATAAAGATTCATTTTTTATAAAATACATGTGCTACAGCGATGGAATTTTATTAATCAATGCGTGTGGAAAGTGCTACTTTCCCAATGGTTGGGGCTGGTAATCTTAAAATCGTCATTCCACATGCTTTGATGAAAAATATAGTACGCAACTGGGGCGGTTGTCAATCTTTCACTCGTGCAAAATAGACAGCCCTCGTTGCGCAATGTACTACTACTTATGAACTCAGGTGTGGGAAGTGTCAAGTCATTTGTGACTGCATAACACCATCAACCGGTTTTCTAGTATCACTTTCTGTTTTAGCCCAATGAACATAGAGTTACTTAAGATTCTTTTTAATAGAATTAATATCGGTACATAATTTAACTCGCTGAGACATCATATATATTGTTCAATATTAAGATGAAGAGGCTATTTTACTTCGCATTACTTTGATTTATGAATTATAAAATATTTACTTACAGCATTACGATGTTGTGGACTAGCTGAACCAGTAGGTGTTTGATTGAATAGATTTTGTGCCGTCGAGTATGAGGATACGTGATGTTGATTATTCGATAAACTATGCTCGCCACCATTTAGATAACGTTGATCCTGCGTTGAATCGTGTAAAACAAATCCTTTTTGTTGCGGTATTGGTACTCCCCACGCTCGAGTATCCTGATACATTCTTGGATCTTGTTGATACACTGAAGAAAAGATTATTCAACATTTAAATGAACAGGTCATTGATAAAATATAAAATTTTCAAATAATCGTTGTATTTCATGCATGCGACTTCACCTTGTGATGAAATATATCTTGAATCCATAGACTGATTATACGCAATGGCTGACAAATCATTTCCTAACTGTAGTGGTTGAGGTTGACCCCATGTACGTCTTGGCACTTGTGGTTGATCATGAAGATAAAACTGAGATTGCGGTGATTCAGGCAATCTCGCAGAGACTGGATTTTGAGAAGAAGCCCCATAAGATTGCTGAAAATCAGTATTTTAATTGAAATAAATATTATAATTCAATAGACCATTTAGAAGAGGTCAAGTTCAAAATGAAAATGACAATTTTAAAAAAGTCTCTGAGCTTTCTACTCAGCATTACTTTAATAACTCAAGTGACTCCTGCCTTATTATACTGTAAACATTCATGTGACTATTCATAAGATTTCGATATCTATCTTAGAATGAATTAACCAATTTTCTTTCCTTTTGCAACTTCAGAATATCTCTCAACTTACATGTAGATGCTGTTGTTGTTGACTAAGACTTTGAAGTTGCTGTAATTGTTGTTGCATTTGTTGATGTTGTTGTGCCAATAAATGCTGCTGCTGAATTTGATTTTGTTGGCTTGCTAAACGTTGAATATCTTGCTGAATTTCAGTCAAACTACTATTCATTCTAAAATTACGAGGTACATTAAACTTCGTTTTATATAAGCGATGATAATTAATACAAAATTATTACTATTAATGATAGATACTAACTGAGTGATTGATTGATGGTACTGATCATAATCCATGTTTTCAATATCAGGTGTTCGCCTAGTTTCCACGTAAGGTGTAGCATCCTGGTCCAGCCATTTGTGCTCAACATCGCGGACATCTTCACTTATTTCCTAAATCGAACAATTTTTTAATCAAAATTTCAATAAAAATATAATAAATAAAATAAAAATTTTTTAATCCAAATTTTGTCGCACGATCATGTATTAAAATTATTGATACTACGGGAAATTCATTATAATAGAGCTTTGAGCCAACTTCAATCCAATTTTTATTAAGGTAAGTTTTACAAAAACATTACCTCGTTAATTATTTTGAGCTCTCAAAAAATAATTTAGAATTATATAATAATGGAGAAGTTTTTTATACCCACAAATAAAATCATTTTACGCAGTTTAACAATAATTATGAAAAATTTTTCTACATAATTTCAAAATGAAGCTTGAAAAAAGTAGTAGCTGTCATCATCTACGTACATTAACTGTCTTTTTGTTTGATCAATAGAAAGAATATTTGCTACCAAGAAAAATTTCAAGGCTCGATGCTCACGTGAACATCAGTGAATTTCAACAAGAGTAGTTTTACAGTGCAATTGCAATACACTTTACAACAGCCATCACCATTGAGATGTGTTAATGATGGTTAAAATAAATTACAAATCGAGTCCCCAAATTACAATCTAAGAAAACAGTCATATTCAAGAGTATATTATTTTTAAACTAGAGCAAAATTTAAAATTAAATTTTCTATTATTTATTGTGAATAAAAGAATTGATGGTTATCGAAAAATTTTATCAACGCTTTAAATTAGATAAGGTATTTCATTTTTTGTCTTATCAAATTAAATGTTGAAATATTCGGAAAGTGATACCAATTGAATACCTTTAGAGAGAAAGGTCGTTGGGGTTTTTCAAATGGCAAATGCGAACTCAAAGATGAAGCTGTAGAAGACAAAATACACTCATCTACGGCATTTTGCTGATCAGTGCCTGAACTCAGCGGCGTGCTTACATCTGCGGGACTTGCCCCACCCGACGTCGACGATGAGGGTGACTTAATTTTACTCTGAAAACCATCCCACAACCACATAACCACCATTAGAAATACCACCACCAAAAGTTTCTTATATTAAAACTAAACCTTACTCATTATCATGGCCGTACCCAGCGAAATTTTTGATTTTACCCTTCTGCCAATGGTAACCCAAACTACATAAGTAACCCAGGTAAGCCCCCCCCCCCCCAAAGAAAAAAATGTTCTGGTTACGGCCCTGCTCATTATTAATAATTTAAATACAATTTATGAATAGAATCGGCCGAATTTATCATGCAGCTACATTAATTAGTAGTAATTTTTAAAAACTATAATTCACAAAAGAGGAAAGAATTATGAGTTCAATTATAGGCAATATAAATGAATATGTACAAATTTTTACAAAAAGTGTGCTCAATAAAATATTTATCTTCATAGCTTAAATTACCTTAGTGACAGCTTGAAGGAAAGCAGCTTTGCCAACTTTTTGTCGAGTTTTTGACATATGAACTTCTAGCTTTCTTTTTTCATTTTCGATGTGTCGTTTCTTCTCTTCTAATTTTAATCGAATGTTATTCAACTGAGAAGCCATGAGTGCATTACCATTACTTTCATCTGCAAAATATGAAATAATTCTAATTGTTACACAGGAAATCTCGATCGTCGTGTACATTTATAATATTCATCAGGTCATACCAATATTGTTTCGTTCTATTTGCTGATTTTGTTGGTTACTCTGTTGTTGCCAAGTTGTCATATTGGGTAATGTTGCAAACGTCGTTTTTTTCTCAACGAATCCGTTTCCATTACTTTGATTGATCTTTTTATCCGTGGCCATAGACGACGAGACATTTAGGCTTTGTTTCGACTGGTCATCTTTGCTTGTGTCTTGTTGATCACTGTAGGTGAGGTTAATGCCCTTCTCTGAGCTTTTACTGAGATTAGCAAAGCTGGCCATCTTAGCCCCACTGGGGGGCCTACTGACAACCGCAGGTGAGTCACCATCAACCTGACCAATCGCCTCATTGTCTGTGGAATGTAGAATATTCTTCAGCGACACATGTCGCCTGAGTCGGGCTGGTGGCGGTGGAGTGTCGTCACTGGTATGCCCATTATCTGCGATAATATGTTGAACACCACTGCTATAAGCATCTTGGATACTTGATCTGGCTGGCGTTGCTGGCTCAGCGTTTAAAATGCGCGGATGTCGACCGAGAGCTTTTGCAGAGACCTTATCTGGATTCCGACCAACGTTGTGGATATTGTCCTGTTGGTAAATAAAACAAACCCACACCTCGTATTTTTCTACTTTCGCGTTCATTTTGAAGCGCGCTGAGCGCTCGCTTAAGAACTTGTCGCAAGTGACTTGCGGATACCGCGGAGAGTTGTCTTTTAAGACATTCTCGCGGGAATTCAGCCAAGACTTTTTCCTTCTTCTTAAAAAATTTAAGTTTAATGTTACAAACAATTTTCCATAAAACTACACTGATAGAAATAAAAATCTAATGCCAAGAATCATTTTATTCTTCCGGCAAGAATGGAATGATTCTTGGCAACAGATTTTTATTTCTATCTGTGTAGCTTTTGGTAGCTTTACATGAATCAGATAATTAGAAGCAGGAAATATTCTTAACTGAGTTCTTATTAAAAGTCTGAAAATATTATATGAATTTTGTTGAAAGAGACTACAGTGTAAACCTCATTTTTATTACGAACAGCGATTCGAGTTTTCCAAACAAAAATAAAAACTATTGACAAAAAATGTGAAATCAGTGTAAAAAAAAAAATTGAAAAATTGCACCGACGCAAGTGTCACTTACGATACTTCTTAGTGAGTGAAGCAGCGTGTTTCGGTGACGAAAAACTAAGACAGTTGAAAGCATAAAACGTTGGTGACGAAAAACATTAATAGTCAAACACACACAAAAAAGAGCATGAAAATGGCAAAATGAGAACGAAAGCTCTAAAATTATAAAGTATAAACAATTCCTAGTCTTACTCTAATAGTCTCAATTTTTTTTAATAACATCTCGTGAACAGAATTTTTTCTCACTTGGGACCCTCCGAAGTTTTCAATAGTTAGCTGTGAATCTTCAGCACTTATGCTATTTCGTCTCGATCTCCGACCAGCGTAAGTGCTTCGCCTATTCTCATCCCAGTTACTAGGCCGACCAGCAGCCTCGGCTCTTACTGGCGTTTTATCATCGTACGCCGTGCTTATCGTTGGTACCCCTTTATTTCGATGGGCTACGAACGCTTCTTCACTGGTCGTTTTTCTGAAATTAACAGGTTGGCCGTTTTTTAAAATTATTTTATAGCAATAATTAAGAATTATATAAAGCAATTTATTAAAAGGACAGTGGTTTTTCATTTAGGATAACACGTTGTTTTTAACGTAAAAAACACACTTGACATGATAATATCAAAAGAACGATATTCAGAGTCCTTGTTGAATTAATTTTTAAATTTCAATGGTACATTTCAACCCGTTAGTAAATTACAGGATACGATACGATCATATATTAGTAACCAGATTACAGAAATGAATGTAACTGTTAAATCTGAAATTCGGTATGCAAAACTCGAATAAATCGAATATCAAATCAAATTTCATCTTTTTGGGGAAAGGAAGGAGGGTGACTTCCCAATATTAAATAGGCCTGTTTTACAGTTGTCACTACCGGTCACTTTACTATTTGCCTGGAACTAAAATATGCAAGGAGTTCCGAGTCAAGTAAACGAGAGACCTTCTTTGTTTTACCTCTAGGCAAATTATTAAAGTGTCCAATGGTGACGACTGGAAAAAAACCCTATATATTTTTATGAAAATTTGGAAAAAATTAATTTCTTCAAAAATGTCTCTTTGTTTTTATACTAGTAATGCGTTTACTTAGTTTTATGGTAGTGATCATATATCTATATTATAAAAATCATAAATATTTTTTTACAAAATGTGTTACTAGCAGTGCACATTATAATAATTCGTTAACGTACATTTGAGTGATTTAAAAAAATTAATTTTTAGAAAGCAAGTCTATAATAACGAAATAAAATGTTTTAATTATTTTAAAATAAAACAACAAATTAACTTTATGATAATGAATCAAACGGAAAATGAAACAAAAAATAACTGATTCATAAGATGCCAGCCGATAGGAATTTCTTTCTAGGTACCTGATACTCCTTATGCGATGTGAATATGTAAATAAAAATATTCATTTATGAGTTTATTGAACTTAAATTCAAAAATCGATTGAAAATTCATCTAAAAATACAATCTAATCTAAGTAAAATATTTTCTCTCAAATAAAAGTAAAGAAGAAATTTTAATTGTATTTATAGTCAATTCAAAAATTATTTTTATAATTTTTTTACGCGTTGTTTGAGATCAGTTCCAACATACCTCTCGTCAACGTGAGTTTCTGAAGTTTGCTGCATGGACTGCGATTTTTTAACTGTATTTTGCACCATCGATTTTGTAACTAAAAATAATAAAGGTATCAATTAAAAATTAATCGTAAATTAAGTTTTAAATTTAACGTATACATGGACTTCCTTAATAAATAATAAGACATTGCATTTGTTTTATTCAGAAAGTAAAAGCTCATTAGTAAGCTCATAAATGTCCAATATACAAACAATATGTATATATTTTAATTAGAATATTATGCTGAGAAAATCATCCAGACATTTGAAGTACATGCTATATAATATATACATAATATACATGATATATGTATTATTATTATGAAGTCCTGATAATTATTTTTATCATCATATTAATTCTAACTATCAATTTGATTTATGTCTATAAAAAAAATTATAATCAAGCAAATGGCAATATTGATAAGACAATATTTGAATAAGTTTGTTGCTGATAGATTTTTGAAAAAATTATTTCAAATCTTCAAAAAACCAAATACTTAACGTAGTTTTTTGAAAATTTTGTTATGATTGTAATATTTAATGCCTGAAATTGCAGGCACAAAGAGTTTAGATAACAATCTCTGAAGAAAGAAACAAAATAAAACACGAAATGAAATACAGGAAAAATGTAAAACATTGAAAAAAAAATAAGAAAAACCTAATACGTGAAAGGAGTTTTTCCATAAAAATTTAATATGAAGTTTTTTGTTTCAAACTATTTAAATTTATTTGATTTTTGCAGAAATCAAATAAAAACATGCGAAGTAATATAAGACACAAGCTCGAAATGAAAGCATGGTCATAAAATACACATACTTAAGAACAATACATATAATAAATACATTAGATAAAATGTAAAACAGATCATGAAATATGTAGCCTTAACAAATTTGTGTATGATCTATATGAATGTATAGTGTTATTCAAATTTAACTCTGAAAAGTAGTGTGATGTTTGTAAAACTTTTTGCGCATAAAAAATGTATATATCTTTGCCCGAGCGTAAAATCCGTACTAATAAACTTGAGAGACAAAAATATGCCTCAATCCTATCCTTTTAACAAGGCATGTTTTTGCTTGTCGAGTTTATTAGTCCGGTTTTTGGGCTGGGGCGACGATATAATGTATTGATCAAAAATATAACGACTACTCAAATTTTCCGAAAAATAGAATGAAACAACCTTACAAATTCTAAAAATCGTAAACTAATAATATATAAAATAAATTTCACACTTGAAAAAAATCCTCACAATGATATATACGGTGCAATATTGAAGAATGCATTTCTTTTTTATGGCATGAAAATGAAAACATATAACGAGAGAAAAAATGAGCGCTAAACTATTTAAAAAACATCATTCAATTGAATAAATTTTGATGAATTACACAGTTGCTGGTGGCTCATGGTGCGGATACCTGTGAAGCCCGGGGCCGACATCGAGAGGTTGCTTCTCAAATCAGGTATGGCAGTTACAGCGAGTGGTAGACTGCGCTTGTGAGCGACACCATAAATATTGCGCGGGCACGCTGTTGTGTTGCGTTTTATTAAATATATGAAATATTACATAGTATTCGTTAGTTATTTACGTTTACATTCCCGCATCCTCTTATTTTACTTTCAGATTAATCGTTTTAGTCGTCTCTGATTTTGCTCTTTTTTGAAAATTTAGAGTAAACTAATAATATTTCTACAGACAGTTTTCATGTAAGAGTTTTGTTTAAATCAATTGATTGATAGTGTCTATCAGAACAATTTAAAGTTTGTATGTGCAACAATTTTATAATAATGTGTTATGCATACTATCGACACCAATAAAAAGCATAAAACCCATTTGATGGCTCGTATTTGATTAATTTATTAATTCTTATGTAAATATTGAAATAAATTTTCAGCTTTCAACATTTTTAGCCAAATATTGAGAAAGCATTTAAACTTTAAGCAAATTATAAAAATGTGTGCTTAATTAGTAACATTAAAACCAGATGTCAAAGTTTTCAATTTGATTCACAGTTTTTTTATATGGAGGATTATTACATATCATTTAAATTAAAAATTGTAATGGCTAGACAAGGTCTGTGTAATAGTTGTCATCAGAGAGTCAAAAAGTATGCAAAAGTTCTTTTAAAATTTAATCATTATTGATACTAAAAATACTTCTTTTATTTCCTCCATCTGATTTTAGCAAATGATTTGTGTTATCAGATCAAATCAGTTATTTACGAGTACATAAACCGAAAAAAAGTTCAAGTACAGAGGCGAATAAAAATTTTTACAGTAAATATCTAAACATACTTGGCGAGAAAACCTGTATTAGTATATTACTGCCCTGGGCGCGTGTTCAGTTAATTACACGCACTCTGAGACTTTTCTATTTTTCGCGGCGTAGGTCAGTAATATACTATGCATTCTACCGCCAAATTATTTTATCCAGAAAACAAAAAGCAATGCAGAATTATCTCATCGTGTAATTTATAAATAATTACACTAACAACAATTTGGTAATATGAAATCGTTATTAACTTTGATTTAACTCACCGTCTAGATATAAATGAGCTCGATCTTCGCCAGGATATCTTACACATTTGGCAGGATGTATTTCTAAAACGTTGTACATCTCGGCCAAAAACACGACCAGGTTTTGCTTCATGGACCTAAAATTATTTTTTCACATACTTTAAAAAAATATTCTATCATACGTATAAAATAAAATTTTAGAAGTTTAGAATTATTGTTTGACACCAGAATAACAAAACAATTTCTGTTGAACATCAGGTTTCGTATTGATTTAAATTTTATTTTTTGGACTTGTTTCAAAAACTGAAGCGATTTGAGACAAAAAACAATATTAGTTGTTAGATCGAATCGAGTATGAGTATTTGGCATCGACTCTCAAGATATACATAGCCCGATAAAAATACTATTAAATAACTGTAACATTCTTATCATAGAAAAATCTACCCATGTGCACCGAACAAAGGAACTAGAATTAAAAGCAGTATTGTAAAATAATAAAATACCCTCTCATGTAGCTGACATCCTCTGGCTGCATGTGAAAGATTGGATAAGGTAGGCAACGCTGGCAAAAGCTGTAGACCAGAGAGAGATTGTGAAGAGCATCGGCAACGGATGGTCGCTTCGATACCCTAATATCCATCCAGTTAATTTCTCCAGGACAGTAGAAAGCTACCACAGCAGCAAGACCGACCCCATCGCAGAGTGATTGTAAATCCCGAGCAGCTGGCAACTCGGGTAATAACTTGCTTTTTTCTGATTTCTCGAGTTGAATTTTGGCTACAAGTGCTTGCGAGGCATGGCCGATCCAGAGCAGCAATCCTCGCTCGTGATCCTGTGGAATTTCTAACGCTTGAGGCTGAGGATCAAATCGCTGAATCGCTGCAATTACTCGCTCGCCTGTGACCACCTCTTTCGCGTATAAGACCATCAGGCCTTCTATCACAGCCATATGCGCACTCTGTAACGGGCAAATTGTTAACAAATAGTATAACTCAGTCACAAAATGGTTTTCAAACACGTGGAATGTACAAAAACGTATATATTTACCATTTTGAGCGGCGAATTTTGAATGAGGATAGTTTCGGTGAGCGGGGTACTGTTGGGCTCGGCAACGTATACACCTTTTCTCGCAAGAGCTTGGAGGATGCCAGTGTGATTTTGATTGTGATAATTTGGATCTGAATAAATATTTGCCAACGCCAAACAGTACAACTCTGCATTTGACAGAGCATGCACAATTTGTGGCTTCAAGTGCTCCTGTTCCTGTCAAAAAACATTCATGAAAATACGACAAAGTAGTATACAGACCTAAGCCGCGAAAAAAGAAAGCCCCAGAACGATTGCTTATTGGTTTCGGCTCCGCATCTGATTACATGTACTCTGGGACTTTTATGTTTTTTACAGCCTAGGACACTACTAATATACTATTCATACAATATTAACATGATCTGTTCGCATCATACTCGCGCTGAATCAAATATCAAAATTTTACGGAATTTACTCATATATAGGCTTTTCGCCAGTCTAAAAATCGAGATATTATACATCATACATTAATTTTAAATGAATGCTTGAGAACTCATGATTATTAAAAATATCTCGAACCAAAATATCGCAAAATTGCCGCTAGTTTTAGGCTCTTGTACTTTTAAATACCAGTGTAATTTGTTACCTCGTGATCCCGATAGTATGGCTCTCGAAGCTTTTCGGGAACCCGGTTGTTGTATGCTTTTGACAAGAGCCATTTTACAGAAGCACGCTGTTTGGCCTGAAACACAAAATAATCATTTTTTATTTAAAAAAAAAACTGAAATTATTTGTATGCTAGTAGCTCTAAGTAATTTATAAATTGACCTGTAATATATATTGTATTATATAATCTTACACAGTAAACAGATACATTCGGCTAAATATCATTGTATTTCAATCCAATATTAAAATATGGATTATTAATATTAATTATTTTGATATAACCTAAAACAAATCAACTAAAATAATAATTATTATTAACTGAAAGCCTATGTTCTTTGAACACGCGATACGATTTAAATGAATTTAATGATAAATATTTGTAAGCTTTAAATGATCAGTGCATCAACGAAAAAGTAATAGACTTTCTTGTTTACTGATATTTTAGGTTTTACACCTTTGCATTTCGAAAACCTCATTTGCCATGTATCACGGCCATGGACATCAACTATACCCATAAGCATGCGTGTAAAATCGAGATGATTCTCGTTTAGAAGTTTTTTCCTTTAGGAGAAGAATTTTCTTGCTTTAATGATGTGATTCTTAGTATTACAAATATACTGTTGCTAAACTGAAGACACAAGTACATGTAATAAGACTAGGTACACATAAATTCAATCCATAAAATCATATTTTTGTAACTCACAAGTGTACATTTTTTTCATATACACAAAATCCGACGTAAAGTGACCGTTTCTTTTTTTTTTTTTTTTTATTTTACCCAAGACTGATTGTAGTTATACATTTAATTTGAATATTTATATGAGAATCTTGATCAATGTTTATGTACACGACGCCTACGAAAAAAGTAAATAAATAAAAATAAATTTCTGAGTCTACATGTTGGGAAATCTGTTCTGTATATATAAAACGAACGCTCAGAGTTAGCGATTGAATTCGTTGCACACAACTGCATTTTACAAGCTACATCAAATTAACATTCTGGTTCATGAATTTCATCAAAATAAAATAACGATTCTTATGAATCCGTTGCTTTTAACCCTATTTTCCAGTAAAAATAATCTAAGTGATATTATTTAACGTTAACCTACATTATTGATCACGTCTCTAAATACATAAAAGTCGAATGCTAAATATTTCACTACTAATTTGTAATGAAAATTCTTGCTAGTAAAGTAAGTCAATTGATAAAACAGAGTCACAAGAAGTGAATTGAAAATGGTATATTTCTCAATGGGTACAGTTATAGTTTTTTAGACAAACGAGGGATTATAGCGAACGTAAAAAATCATATCTGCCTCAGTTGATGGTACTATTTTTTCCTACGAAAGCCTCAAATTAGCGGCAAAGTTGTTTTAGGTTAGTGTGTGGGAAAAACAATTTTTCCCCACGGTACGGGTAAATCTTACTGAAATAAACTGCATTTGTTGTCAATCATGTTAAGAGTGAATCCTGAAAAAGTTTTATCTTGATCTGATTTAAGATTTGAGATCAGATTACAGTGTGTTTCTAACCCTTTTAGCAGTGATTTTTTAAAATGAGTAGCCAAGCTTTAATTTAAGATAAAAAACGTAAGGATTCATCGACTATTTTAAAAGTTACATCGTGCAGAAAAAAAATGATTTTATCTCCATTTTTCGGATATGTTCGTTTTTTTCGAAAGATTGGTTTTTTTTTCATTTATAGCTTTTAATTTCAGACGGGATTTTCAAAGGTGAGTTTTTTCAAAGGTTTTACGTTTGCTAAAATTGCTAAAAAAAATTGCGAATCGGAAGTACGTACACTCACACAATTTTATAGCTTAAATTTAATATGCCTTTTTAAATTACGATTGAATTATTGGTCAATTTTCAATTTTAACCTTTAACCTTCCGTATATGTATACTTTCATTGCTATTGCTACATATGCTGAAAATGCATAACAACGAGTTGGGGAAAAGAGAGCAAGAGAAAGGTCTGACTCAGTGAGAAATTGGAAGCACGTGATCGGACGTTGTTGTGCACTGATTGTCCCATGCCCCAAGCACGCTTCACACAAGGCTTGAGGTATTTTCCAATATTCAGAGCTACAGTTGTAGATATTACTAATTAAGAAGATATTATCAAATAATTATTCATTTTTCTAAACTTATCAATTAATATCAAATAACGTGTCGGTAAAAAGTACCATATTTGCGATATAATACTATACGATTATTCATAATATGTAAACATTTGGGTGTCGATATTAAAAATTTTAATTTCTAGTACTTTACTAAAATTTCAACTTTTCCGGTAGTTTTAGACTCTTGTGCTAAGAAATATATTATACAATTTAACAAAGATATAATAAAACCATCTTAATCAAACTGACGTGAAGGTAATTTGTGGATATCATGTGAAAAACAGTTCTTTTGCTGAATTATCCAAAATTCCACAAAACTCCTCAGCCCATAAAGGATACTTTTCTTAAGAATTTGATTCCTATTAGGGATTCCCACCTAAATAACTTTGATCTGAACCTTGCGCACAGTGATGAAAGGCTAAAATAGCAAAAATAAGCTATTTAAGATGCAAAGTACGTACGTATAGTCTAGATTTTTATATCTACAAGTGGCACTTATGCCATTATTTTTATGTATTCTATGAGTTTTAAAATGTCATCCCTTGCATTGGCATACATTTAAAAATCAGCACACAATCGTGGGTTTTTCTCACATTATTACCATATCGACCTACACCTAAAGACCCGAAAAGAAAAGATCAGTGCCAAACTATCATCTTTTAATAATGGCATATGTTAAAAAATCAGCACACAAGGCCAAAATTTGTTACAAATCTATATGTACTTTAAAATATATCGCCACGCTTATACGGCGTAATATTCCGTTTTTTGAGCTTGTTATCGATGTATCTTTCAGACTTTTCAAGGGCATAAGTTAGAAAATCAGTACCTATTATCGGTCACTATCTACCGGTCTATTATTATTATTTTCTAAAGTTACAAAAATTATTTGACTAGTTTGTACAATTTATGTTTTGAATTTTTCAAGAAATCTTTCATTCAATCGAACGGGATCAAAAATATTTACTGAATGAAACTTCATTATATGAAACTTCATAAATATTTCTTAAGCGGTGGACGCCTACACCTTATTTTACTTGCAACATTATCCTAGTCCCGTTGCTAACAAAATAATCATAGTTATTGAATTGATATTCCATAGTTCTATCACATTTACAAAAATAACTGCTTCCTAACACAGAATAGGATGTTGTTATATCCCAGATTATTAAAAATTGAATATTGTACTTAGTTTCATGTTTGCAATTTACCTAATATATATAGCTTGAAAACTATTTTGTATAAAAAAGTAGTTTCAACAATGAAAAATATTGAACGACAAGAAGTACTCATTGTACGAAGAAATATCATTTTTTTAAGTAAAACAAACTTCAGAAAAACAGCAGATTCTTTGTACCAACGGTCCCAGTCATCAGCGAAAACGTGATGGCGCTTTAAACTTTTTGTAAATCTATAATTATAATCGCTATAGATATACTACAGCTTATCGCCATTTTATTTTCAGTGATTATCGGGATTGTTTATTTGTACAGATTATTATCTGGGTAGTAACATACAATTGTAATGACAATTAAGATTCAAAATACGATGCTTACACTATACAAAAATTATCTTGTAGTATATTGTATTCTGAATATACGCAAATTAATGAAAATAGTTCGATTAAAAAAGTATCCGTTTTAAGTTTTCAATTGAAGGATAAATAAGAAACTTACATTTCTGAAATTCACCTGTAACAAAAAAAGTATGTACATTGTAAAAACTTGCTTAGGACTCTCGACACCAAGAAAAACTTAGAGCTCCATTATTGAGATTATCAATTCTCAAAAAAATTACATTCAAAAATGCATGTCGATTAAATTATCCTCAAATATTTGATTTCAGGAGCTTTAAGCTATTCTTTATAATTAATGGCAAAAATTTTCTAAATTTTTTAAACAAATTTAATGAAAAGTTAAGCGTATTAATAAAAATAAACATTAAAAAAGCACTTATTAAGTAAGTTATCGGTAACAATTAAACAAATGATTTAAGTTTTTGATTATCAAAAGCTTCATACTTTATGCGTTCTATTAATGAAAATACAAAATATATGGATTGTAATTTTCATCAAATATTGTGCAATGAGTAAGAGACAGAAATGTATATCAATTAGTTCTTGTCACAAAGTTAGGTCAACTGTAAAAATTTTGTTAAACTTAAGCTGTATGATATAATATAGCATAAAATATCAGCAATCCATAACAAAGCACCGCTCTTTAATATCTCCAGTGAATTTTTTTCAACTTAAAAAAATAGAAAGTAAATAATGTAAAGATTTGTTTCTTTACTATAAGAGGTATCATCTTCAAAAAGTCTAATGTACGATGCAGCTAATGACAATTTTTAACACAAAAGCAACTTGCCTCCTAAGTTCCATTTCTAGCATAACTTAAAACATCAAAACTTTCAATACCCAATAAACTGCAATACATATTACTAAAGTCAAAATTCTTTTAAGTGTTTATTTATGAAAATATGTCTTTATTACTTATATCATTAGCAATAATTTTTAGAAATTTTTTCATTTCTGGCTTTTAAGTTCCTGAGCCCCTCGAAAGATAAAATCATGAACAAATGTTTTATTCAATTGGCAGTGTACATGCCTAACAACACATTGCTTACAACACACATGAAAACAATCACTTATCTTACTCTATGATAATTGAAAAAAATAGAAAGCCCTTATTATGGATAAAGCTGACGATTTTTCAAGTCAATTGTAGCATCAGCAAGTGTAAACAATATTTCATATTCAAGACCAGCTGGAAGTCAAGTAACGACAACAGAATCTCCAGAGTCACCGCCAGCGCAGCATAGCAATGCGTCTTATGCGAATTACGCCTTACATATCGCGCTCCTTTAAAGTCGATGTTCTTTTTTCTGGTCTTTCATTCACTCGCCAGCATCATGTGCACTGCAATAAATTACGATTGCGTAGGCGGCAAAGAAGC